TCTGTATAAAAACCACTTTTGAGTGAAATTTCTCATTCGAGAGCTGCTGCACTTTATTGTATTCAACTCAGTGTGAAAACAAACAACCACATCGTGAGGGAGATCAACTGTGGACCATCGACTGGGACCTGTGAGACTCTGAAGAAGAAAGAACCTGTCGTAACGTCAGCAGAATAAGACGTGTTCACAACTTCGCGTATGCTAAATAGCCCAAGAAAACGTTGACTATTCATTCTGAGGTTAATCGAAAGTCGATTTTCAGAGATAGACGATGAGTGTTTTCTTGTTGAGCAGAAATGAAGTTTAGTACACTATTTGTTCAGAATAGCTGACGTTTGGGCAGTTTCGCCTTCTTCAGAACGTGGAATGGCCAGAGTAGACCTAAACCATATGAGTCAATCAGCTGACATCGCATTTCCCGGATTACTGTAATCTCTTAATTGGTATGTGCTACCGTGAGATATGTATGTGGGATGTGTTTGCACAGTGTGGATTAGAGTCGATCGGCCCCGATTATCGCCCTTTTCGTGGGCGCGTTGCATGATCGCCAAACACTCATACGTCATTCACTCACTGCTACACACCCTTGCTAAGATAACGGATTTTAGGGCGGCAGAGTTGCTATAGGCTGCAACTTCTAACTAAGCACAGTTTGGAAAAGCTGTAGTTTGAGGTGGCTTTCAATTGATGCTTGTAAATTATTCGTATAATTACATGGAATGCATGTAGCCCAACGGTAGTGGTTCGAAGTGTTCTGCAATGGACCGTGTTCATTGTTTTGAGCGTATGCCCTACGCAAACTAAGCCTTCCATTTTCCCGGGGCATGAAAGTTGGTACCGCACTTGTCTGAGAGGGTAGCAGCATTGACTCGATGCATCTTCAGGCTAATTACAAAGCCCAGATATTCATTTAACAAACTCTAGGCTTAAGTCTAATTCACGGCGCATCCTATGGGGAATGATGCCTATGCCGCTAGCTTCATTCTTTTTATTTATATTGCTACAAAAGATAAAGGATAAAAGCAACAAGTTTGAATGACAAGTTCCAGCGTCGTTTCGCCTAATCCTGGGAAAACTAAGTGCACAATACTATCAGCTTTTTGGTATTATCAGTTTGGAAGACTGGATGAAATGGGTGGAAACAATGACTTCCTGCTATTCTGAATCGGCTTTCATTAAATCTCGGTGTGAATGATCAGTGTATCTTATTTTATCCAATACCTGCTTCTGCGGGATGGTTTGTCCGTTGAAGAACAAAATACTTTCAACGGACAATCAGTATTACAAACAACGTTCCTATGAGGGCAACGCTGAATGAGGTTCTCATTCGAACGGTGCTCCCCAGAAAAAGATCCGGTTCGATACGATTGGGAAGGTCCCACATTGCGAGGCCGAATGACTGTGGACCATCTAATCGGAACAACGGCTCTTAAGATGACGAAGATGTCGAAACGATAGTCGATTAAATGTTTGGCAACAGCCTCGTGTTTCCTTGCCAATAGAATAAGGTACTGGCTCAATCGAATGCATTGCGCATCACGAAGATGCTCACGAACGTTGAATACTGTTTCTAATTTAAATCTGTTTACAATTCAGATCTTTAAAAACGCGACGTGGTGATAAAGCTTTCGATGCAAAAGTGCTAGCTTTCAACATTTAAGGGACAGCCAAATACGTTCGGTTTCACTTGTTCACCGGTTTCATATCTGTTTTACTTTGAGCTTCAAATATTGTCACACCTATCAAATGATCTCAAATATAGGAATCTGTTCGGATCATTTTAACGTCGTTTTCAACAACAAATAGCGAATTAGTGTCGAATCCGATCTGAAAATATCCCTAGAAAATATTCCTTCTAACATAGTTCTAAGAGGACCAGTACAATCATCTTAATCACTGGTATCTTTAGATCTTGTAACAACCGGGCGAAGCCATTGAAACTATGTTAACCCTCTTGTCGTTCACATGATGAGGCTTTAACTCTCTGCGCTGTATCGCTTACTTCATTACTATAACTGACCGTACAGTCAAGTAGGGCAGCTGTAACCAGCCAGTCAGACAGGGTTATCAATGAGCAGGACGGCATGACAGGTGGCGTGTTTTCAAAGAGAAAAGCGGTCCCCACCTGGGATTATGGTAATTGTCGGCCAGCTATTAAAAGCGACCACTTCCGAATTATTAAAGGCAGATTCGCGCACAGTCGAAGAGCAGGGAAATTCACTATTTTCTAGGGGTTTCGGCAAAAATTCTTTTCATGAGAATGAAATCTATTTCAAGTTGCTATTTTTTCATGGTAATTTTACATTACAAACTTATCTTAGAAAGTTCTCGCACAGATTCCTTGAGCTTTTGGAGATGGAAATCGCTGGATCAACAGAAAAGCATGACGAGAATGTCGCATACTGGTTGATTATGGACGGTGAGAATCTTTGGATGTCACATATCTCATTGGTACTTGGCCGAAACGGTCCATCCACGATATTCCATAAAAACGTCATAAAAGACGAATATGAATAGGAAAATATGAATGGTCCGTGTCTTGCACCTATGATACCAGCTCAGCTTCTTTTTATTTCGATTACTTTATTTCGATCTCAGCATTATATACGAGTTATATTTCGCAACATACCCTGCCATTAAAAAAAACAAGGCAGTAAATAAAAGGAGCCTCTTCTGATATACTTGAAAAACTTGGACCTCAAGCTAGATCGAACCACCCTTTCCAGGAGCACCCGTGTTACACACTGCACCACTGAACCCTTTGTTCTTCTTCGTATTCTTGTTGAGCAAACGCGAGGTGTTATTTTATCCATTATTCACGAACAAGCTAATGTTTCGGCGAATTTCTCCTTCCTCAGAACCTGGAAAGGTCAAGTTGATAGCAACCTATTCGGCCAAATACCTCCATTACCAAACAAAGAAAGCGCTGAAGCAAGATTTCAATCGGATTGAACACAGAATAGCTTCATTGCACACTCACCTCTTCCTATAAGTCTTCCACTGAGTATGTCGTGTGAAGACCAACCGCACAGAATTCACATGGAAGTATACTGTGCCTCTCCCATCAAAAAAACTGGCTTATACACTGCCCAATATCACGCGTGATAATGACGCATTCTTTTCTGCGGTTCATTTTCGGATTTCTGGAATTAATGCAGAAAGCCTCAAGATTTTTGCACGCTTGTGTTCTCGATTCCTGTGCGAGGATTGTAACCGGTACTTCAAAGTCCTCCCCGTTATGTCTTTGCATCTTATGCGTACCTAGTGGAGTATTTGGTTTAGGTTTACAGACTAGGTGCTCTTTTATACGGACACAGAGTGCTCTACCCGTTTCGCCAATCTATTCGCCCCTCACACCTTACAAGAGATCAGACAAACTGTACCCGAGCTCATGCAATCACCGTCCCTATCATTAAGTTAAATTATGCAATTTTGCGTTGCACATAGACGGTCGTATAGGCGGTTACGAACTAGCTGGCGTCTTAGATTACTCGGTGGCATTTCAATTACGTTTACCGAATTCTCTAGACCCGCCCTTCTTAAGCAGCGTTTTATACCTGCACTTACTTCATTTGAAATGAAACGCAAGATAAACGGAACCTTATTGTCGCTAGAGTTATCGTTAGGAACCCTGCGGTTTCCTCTAAAACTATCCCGAGCTACAGTTTCGTAGCCATCAAAAGTGGCTATAGAAAATCTAGTTTCTTATCAGCAGCTTCGTCTGAAGGGAGGGAAGGAAACACCACTTTCATTCCGGGTTTTTTTTTTCAGAAAGTGATATTGTAAGATGCAGCAAGATTTAAAGTATATTCAAGCTTTTATTCTAGTATGGATTCCTTTTTTGAGAAATTCTGCGAATTGAAACACCAAATGTAATTAGGAAAAAGCGTTTACTACAACATAAATAAGTAGAAATGACGTCCATATAAACCCGTTTTAGCCCTTTGCTGTGCCTAACTGTTGTTGCAGAATTAAATTAACTAAAGATTCGCCAATGGACCTAAAATAATAATAGGAATCGTTTACAGTTTTAGTGACAGCTTAATAATCAGTGCAAGCTAGTCCTGCTCTATGAGTGACAGCAAAAAGTGCTCGATGAGCCTACGACATCGGAGATGCGATAGGTGTTCCCAGAACTGAAGCAGCGTCGCGGAAGAAGCACCATGTACCGGAAAGCTAATAACGATACCTTCTCCATCTACACATGGCTGAGAAGACTTCTGCAAAATTGGTAAGACGTTTGCAATTTTGAAATTTGTTGAGAGAACAAGGCACGTGTAGTGCAATGGTTAAAAGTGTTTTGCAATACATGCCGAACCAGTTAATGGTTCGACCTCACGTTCCGATGCCGAAAAGTATTCCATTTCATCAGAGTCAGAAAACTGAGGCCTCGCCTTCTCTCGGAGAATAGCAACACTTACGTGACGTGTCAGTAGGCTACAGAAAGTCATTGCATAGGTAAGATATGTATTCAACCATCTCTATGACTAATGGTGAAGCCGAATGCACGGCGCATCTCACAGAGATTAAACAATAATAAGCACTTTTTAATGCTTTATTTAGAAAAATAAATAGAGTGATTACTAGAAGACATTGGCAAATACAAGGGCAAAACGGATGAGAAAGAATGCCATGCCTGATAGCACCTATGAGCGCTATGGAAGCATTTCAAGTGGTACTCAGTACCATGAGGCATAAAACTTGAAAGGATGAAGTGTACGGTGTTAATCAATCCCTGAAGGATGCATCATCCATTCGGATAAATAAAGCGTCGTAGACACGACTAAATTTATATTTGGCCCGTAAAATGACTTGCGATGGCTTACCGATCTACCAAGTCAGTGCTGCAATCCTCCTAAAGAATTCTGGTAACAATTTACTGACACAAAAGGAATTGGAGTTATCAATTGAGGAAAACCTTTTGAACTCTTTTGGGAACTACGTCTTTATAGACTCAACTAAATTTCATGCTTGATATCAAAATACCGTTTTTGATTACTCTAATTCCCAGCTTTGATAGGTAGAACTTGGAAGCAATTACACAATTCCATATTTCCTACCCAATGATTCCAAACTCCTGGCTCACGACGTAACTCGACCAGTCCTTTTTTGGCCAAAAGACCGGTAAAGAATGCGTCTTCAACCTCGAAAACCTGTAAACATCTACCTTTGTCATTTTATTATACAGAATAGCAGCTTCTGTATGAAACACGTTTAATTAACTCCTTCATCGGATACTTAATGGTCGAAAAAGACTATGTGATTCCGGACTTTTCTGCTTACCATGGCGTCTCGCGAAGCCTCCAAGATAGCTTGCAATGCCGCTGGAGTGAGAAGGTATAGGGGACCACTGCAATAATCAGGCAAGAAATGCTCAGGATAGACAGACTCGGGAATGTACCTAGAAAACTAGTCGATATATAGTGGAGTTATGGTAAAATACATAGGAATAAACTTTACTTGGGGCCAATACTAAACGGTAGCCAACTTTTTGCTCTACTTCTCCATCGACTTTAATGGGAATACAAAAAGAGATCCTACTCAGCTTCTAGTAGTAGAAGGTTATTAGTAGAGCAGTAGAAAAAAAGGATGCTTACCACGGGCTTTCACTATTGCGAACTGGCTGTGGACTTTTATGCACATAGCACTGGATAGTTCGCTCCCGTGGGCTGCCTACACGACTGACTATCTGAAATTCGTGGAATTCGGACATAACTGAGCACATCAGCAGGAAAGGGAAGAAAACGATGAGAGGTGAAAATCACCTTGTCTAACAGCACGACAACGTCAGAGTCAATTTTAAGAACGAATTTGCTCGGATAGTTAGGATGGATCCATCGATAGGCCGCCAGAAGCTGAATAATTTTATGTAAAAGAGTTACCTGAATGTGAAAAATCTCGATAAAAGGGCAGATCACAGGTGTAATAAAGATGGGTACGAGAATAAGTGTTTCATAACAGAGTGAAATTTGCACAGGGAATAGCAAAGGGGACATTTTCAAAATTATTGGAGTCATTTGAGCAATTCGATCATATCACAATTTCGTACTGTTCTAAAAGCCATATGAATGAGCGATGTGGATTTTTTTCAACAGCTAGTTCATAGGCTCCAAATCAAACTCTGCAGGAAGTAAATCCTAGAAGAAATCTAGAAGAAATTGAGGAAAATCACATACTTTATAAACAAGGTTTGTGTAAGTGTCATAGACCTTCACTTGCAATATGTCACTGAAAATTTTCTGTTCGTTGTCGATAACATCCTCATCGAGTCCAGTACCAACCAAGAAGAAAACGCTTACTAGTTTGTTCTAAAATAAGACAGCAAATTGTTAATGCAGTAGCTGTACCCGACTTCAAAAACACACAACACCAAAAGTTCCAAATGAACACCTGACTGGAGAACAACTTAGGAATCTACTCGGCCATTCTAAATCTTGAGTGACTAAGTTAAAATCATTACGAAATTGGAGAGATTACAATTTTTATTTACCACTTATTACAGTTTTTCACGGCAGGGTATTATGTGCGATATAACCACAACGATGCTGAGATATTTGCAAAACTCCGGCCTGCAGGTGTCTGAGGTGGGGATCGAACACGCTATATTACCCTTTCCGGGGGTTAATGCGTTCACCACCACACTATGCGTGCCCTTCGTTTCGCCTCTCTCTCAGCATGTTTTCTATCGATCATTGGAAAGATTCCTTTTGTTTTGGTGAATGATTTGTAGTAAGCAATTTCATTGAGTTTTCAGCAAAAAAGTGCAGTGGCGACAAGAGGATGAAGCGTTCGAAGTTGATCACTTACTTAAGATGCACCATGCATTCAATTTCTTTCAGCATCGTAGAGGAGATTGAATGCATATCTAGCTCATAGAAACATGGAATTTTCAAGGGTTTACGATCATACCATGTTGATGTCACTATCCTCCCAGATAAACAGCTGATCCAGAAGATGCGTTGGTTGTTTATCCCGCGTGGTATTATCGAACCGAAGATCATGTGTGTGTTACAGGATACTAGTAACCATTACGGTATAAGCGCCCAGTTAGAACGACACCGACATGTGAATTTTTACTTTTTTCCAGTCGGTTAAATGGACTCAAATTATCAATCTAAGCAAAAGTAATGAAATGAAACGAAAAATCTTAGACATTTTTGATCTTCCATACATTCACCACAAGAAAACGAACTGACCTCAACAGCTTTCGAAAACAAAGCGTTTGCCCATGTTTGACGAATTGCCATGCGAGTTTCGATATCATCTGGTTTACTGCATACGATTACAATGACCTTTGTCTCCTTAGGAATCGTCGGCGAAGTCAAATTTAAACTGGAATAGGTTAGTAGTGACTGTAATAAGTAGTAAACTCAGTCTATTAGAATGAAAGACTGACTTTCTATAAGCCTTGGCATAAATAGTTGACATATTTATTTATATGACCTTATAAACTGATCTTCCTTAGCTGGTGCGAGGTTGGTATAGGTCTTCGTTGTCGTTGTCGTTGTTGTTGGTGCTGTTGGTCGATGGCTGACGTTTCGGCGATTTCACCTTCCTCAGAGCCTGGACGTATTTTATATAAGAATACTTTAATTATTCGGTGAAAAAAGCTAAAGTATTAATGAAGATCGAACTTTTAAATAGACGCCGTACTGAACAGAAAGGCCACTCACCGTGATGTATGATGATATGAAAAACTGTATGATCTGTCCTAACGTGAGAGACGAGGATTGCACGAGTTCAGGTATAACATACTTGATTTTATGTAACGCATTCGGTGAGGAATATATTGGGGAAACGGATAGACCACTTTGTGTCTGCATAAAAAAAAACCTAGATGGGAAAGTTAAAATTCGTCAAAGCGCACCTCTAGGTACATGTAGGGCACAAAAGCACAACGGCGATGATTTTGAAGTGAATGTGCGGATCCTAGCGCAGGAATCAAAAACATCAACGCGCAAAACTATCGAGGCGTTTTGGATAAATTTCAAAAGTCCAAAGGTGAACCGGAAGGACGAATGCCTCACTGTCACACATGACCTGGTGCCCTATTTCGAAATGATATTTCGACCCCTGGGTGTACTTCGCTGGCAACTCCGCTTAAACAACGAGTGGGTCAGTCCCACTGGTAACATCATGGTGAGTAGGCTTTCTGTTCAAAATGGCGCCTATTTAAAAGTTTGATCTTCATTAATACTTTAGCCTTTTTCCACCGATTAATTAAAGTATTGTTATATAAAATACGTGCGGGCTTTGAGGAAGACGAAATCGCCGAAACGTCAGCCATCGACCAACAGCACCAACGACAACGACAACGAAAACCTATACCAGTCTCGCATCAGCTATAAAAGATGATCAGTTTATAAGATCATATAGATAAATATAGAATGAAAATTATTTGAATAAAAGTTTTGAGCAACAAAAAACACCACCTGCCGACTGTATCACCTACATCATAATTAATCATCGAATGATCTGAGCAGTGACTAACCTAGTCTCTACTAACACTTGTCGATGTCAGTTCAGTGCTCGTCGGGTTATACCATGTCACAAGTTTACTTGTAACTGTGCTTCTGGATGAAGATATCACACTTGGTAACCAGTGAGAGTGCAGCTTTAGTACATGTCGCAATACCGTATTCCGTGGTTGACCCTACCGATCACAACTATTTTTTCACGGGCTGCGGACTTTCCGATTTATTGGCAATAAAAAATCATTTCTCAACAAATAGAGAGGTTGAGACGTTCTGAACAAGCCAGAATTGCAAACAAGACTTTGCTCTATCGTCATACTACTGTTTGCTTTGTGTTACTATAGCCCATTATGCAAACACATTACTGTCTGCCTTCGGAAGTCTTTTGCAGCTTATGTCGACCATTTTTAGGTGTTTTTTATTATTAATATTTATGCCATTGTTGATTGTTACCGAAATTACCTGTCAGTAAAGATCTTTTCAAATCTTTAACTGTAGAGAATGACTTGTCTGACCTTACACCTACTATTTTTATGCGCTTTTGATTGGCTATTGAATGACCCACATAGCCAGGCAAAAAACCCTGGAACCCCGTAAACTGAATGCGAGCACTATAATTTCGATATAGTCTTTGGCCCAGATCGCTATGGACATTGTAGTGCCCACCACGAGAAGATAGAACGAATGGGCTACAGATGCAAGGTGATTGCTTCTTCCGCATTAGATTGACGTACCATTCGTATACATCATAGCCAAATCATCGTACGTTGGTTTTCCACTGTTTACATAGATCCTGCACAGCGTTTTTCTCAAAAATCTTCACCAAAATGTATACGGAGCATTCTCCATGAAGGGCGGCTCTTACAAGTATCCAGCAAGTAAGGCCTTAATGACCATACGGCGATTACCATTCCAGGAACGTTCCGGAATCTGTGTCTCCTTATCTTTACTTACTGGGCAGTTCTGATGAATCACAGCGACAAGTGGGGACTCTACTGATATTATCTCAACTAGCACGATGGTTGAATCCACTAAAGACCTTTAAACTGGCAAGATAATTAGACTAACAAGTTCCACGATATTTTGTGATAGCACTATCCAAAAACTATCCGAAATTTGAAGGATATGAGCGTAAAATACAGTAGAGCTTGTCATTTACAGCTAGCTCACGGTGCCATTGTCGTGAAACATCAGCAGTGAAAAAGTATTCACTTCGAACAACACCAACTCTCACAGGAATAGTAGATTGTCACCACACCCTAGAGGTGTACCGGGTAATCAAATTGTTGTTTGACGACTAGTCCGCCTTCCCAGTAGGATCACATGACCCGAATTGGAACTTGATATCTCCACCTAAAAACCTGGTTAAAAACAAACCAAATCCAGCAAAAACTGTCATCTTGGAAGCAACTTTGATGCAAATCAACAAATTAATCTCTGATAGAGAATGATCAGCGATATGTTGTAAACGCTCTGACAGAGTACTGGGTCCACCAAGCGTCCCATCCTTCTGTTATCGAGAAATTGGCAACAGATTCGTGTGCGATCAGGTGGTCCCTTGCAATCCAAAAGAGGGCACCTGCTTAATATGAAGACCTCGTAGCACGACTATCTCACGATTCCACGAAGAATCGAGTCGACCAGCACTCAACGAAGTTTATAAAGAAGGCCAAAAATTGTAGAGGAGTAAGCAAACCCAGAAATCCGTGGACTTTCATGGCTAAAGGATGCGAGGCAACGAATTAGATTCAAAAGTACTAGATTTCGCACAACATGTGCTGTCAGGTGTTTTTTAAAAAACTGATGCACTAATGTTTGCTAAAGCAGCACTTCCAATGAATTTTAGTTTTAATTAATATCAGTGAAAACTAGCTGAGAGACATGCGAAACGAAGAAGCTGTAAGGTGTAGTGAACGCGTTAGCCCCTGGAAAGGGTAATAGCGCGCTCGTTCCCCACCGCACACACCTCCGGTTAGGAGTTTTGCAAATATCTCAGCATCATTGTGATTTTTCCGCAAGTAATACCCTGTCGTGAAAACTTATAAAAGGCAGTAAATAAAAGCCAACATTAATGCCAGTTATATTTGCAAAACTCTGGACCGTAGATGTCTATGGTGGGGAACGAACGCGCTATTATCCTTTCCAGGGAGTAACGCGTTCACCACCACACCATGCTGGTCCTTCGTTTCGCCTGTCTCTCAGCTATTTCTATCGATCTTTTTGCCACAGCAATCACCCGTCAGTGGGGTTGATCTGGGGAGAGCAAATCGGCATAGAACCCAGTTAAGCTATCGCTGTAGTTGAAATCACAATGTTGGTGAACGCGTTACTCCCCGGAAAGGATAATAGCGCGTTCGTTACCCACCATAGACACCTGCGGTCCAGAGTTTTGCAAATATCTCAGCAACGTTGTGGTTGTATTTCGCTTAGTAACCTGCCATGAAAATTATAGAAGGCAGAAAACAAAACGTTAAACATTAATGCCAGTGTTTGAAATAGGTTCCTCTCATTTCTAGGGAACAGCATCCAAAATGAACATGTAGGCCTTACTAGCAAGAAATCTAATCGCAATTAGGGGAGATTTACGAGAATCTAAGAATCCACTTGAGAGGTAATATTTAGAGATTATCATCTCTCTCGCGGAGAATATCCTCATTCCTATAAATATGCTAGAGATGTCAACAACCTATCAAAACAAGTACATTTTCATAAATCGCACTTATCTGAACAACATCGTGTAAGGATTGCCATTCAATATCGTTTTTATTCCTTTCATACCTGACTTTCTTCATTCCTCCACCTCTGCCAAAGTGGAAATAAGAACAGAGTTTTGCGTGGAAAAGAACAGAAAGAAATGTTCCATTCATTTTTTTTCACTTTATAAAAAATGTTACTACTTTAACTCACGAGTTTGGATTGCAGTTGAGAAGGTCAGAGTAGAGAGTTTGATTCGGAAGTCGTCCTTCTACTGATGTTTTAGAGCGCATTTGCTTTTCAATCGAGCCGAGAATTACTGAATACTAAAAATTACTTTACAAAGATTTTTTCTTGGTTTAAATCTACCTACTGGAGAGTAACTATGTGTAACTCCCACGACAGACTTTCTATTAACCTCGGCATTGATCAAGTACTTAGTGGAAACCTTATAGAAAGCAGCTCTGAGGAAGGCGAAATCCGCCGAAACATCAGCTTATTCGTGAATAAACAATAATAATAATAACACCTCACCTTTTTTCAACAAAAATACGAAGAGTAATTATGTGTCTTCCACAATGATGCTGAGATATTTGCAAAACTACGGAGCGCAGGTTCTGAGGTCGGGAACGAACGCACTATTACCCTTTCCGGGGGTTAACGCGTTCACCACCACACCATGTGGATCCTTCGTTTCGCCTCTCTCTCTCTGCTAGTTCTATCGATCCCTGCTATCCGCAATCAGCCATCAACGGGATTGATCTAGGGTGCCGAATCGGTTACGAACCCAATTCAACTAGGCTGTAGTCAAAATACTTGTCTTCTGTAGCGAAGTGTAAGATCGCCTTCGCAACTTGCGCATGCTACCAATTAGCAATTCTATCATTATATGGAGTGAATGAAAAGCGTGGTAAATAAGGTTAGGGATTTCTGTTTGAGATTCCAAATAGACATTAAAATAAGGCGCGATGGGGTTCGTTACCTATGTCCGTCCATCTCACACATCTTAAGCTTAGGGTGAAAACGTTGAGCACTGCAAGACCTGTGGACGACTTGGACTCTGTGGGATGGACGATGTTTGCTAGTGGGCCATTTCTTTCGCTAGTGCTTTCATTTTGTACATCATACAATCCTTATTCAAAATTTTAGTGTGGCTTTCATGACATTGTGAAAATCCTTCTCTCAAACGAGATGTCACTAGGTGAGTCAGATTTCTGAAAATCATAGTGATAAAAATTACTTCCTTTCCTCAGTTAGTGTTACTACACATTTTTCTGCTATCACTTATGCTTCTTAATGCATTTATTTAGCATTATTTTTTGTTTTATTACTTCCATGTGGTCCACTTCATGTGCCGAAGGTGTTCAGTACACCTGTTTCACAACACACTCTCGCTTTTCGAAATACAGTAAGATCGACTTATTTTCCGATAAAGTCGCGTTTTATTTTATAAGATTAAGCCCTCAACGGTTTACCGCCTTACTGTAACTGGCAGGTGATTCTTCTAGGTTTCGGAATGCTATGTACTGCGATAGTTCATCGCACCACCAGGGCGCGAAACTGAGAAGAAGAGCGAAGTTTCTCTCCTGAAGCCCAGCTAAGAATAAACCAACGCCAGGATCTATCACCGTCCTGGTACCAAACTAGTTGTGCGGTGGCAAATCTCTTTCTGATCCACAAGAGTGACGACTGTCTGGGACAGGTGGTCTTTCAACGAACAGGTGGTTCCGAGGTTGAAGACGTAGTCGACGCCATGGATGACTAGTCAAACAATGTTCTACGACCTCTGAGTATTTGATGAAAATAATTCTGGATATATGTGATCTTGTAAACTGATCTTCTTAAGCTGACGCGAGGTTGGTACAGATCTTCGTTGTCGTTGTCGTTGTTTTTGATGTTATTGAACGATGGCTGACGTTTCGGCGACTTCGCCTTCCTCAGAGCCTGGACGTACTTTGTGTTAGAATACTTTTTATTATTCGGTGGAAAAGAAGGTTAAAGTATTAATGAAGATCAAACTTTTAAATAGACGCCATATTGAACAGAAAGGTCACTCACCGTGATGTTAAGTGCGGGACTGGCCCACACGTAGCTCACGCGAGCAAGACACGCCCCGGGGTCAAAATATCACTTTGAAATAGGGCGCCAGGTCACGCGTGATAGTGAGGCATTCGTCCTTCCGGTTCATCCTTGGATTTTTGAAATTTATCCAAAACGCCTCAAGAGTTTTGCGCGTTGATGTTTTTGATTCCTGCGCTAGGATCCGCACATTCATTTCAAAATCATCGCCGTTGTGCTTTTGTGCCCTATGCGTACCTAGAGGGGTGTTTAAACGGATTTTAGCTTTTCCATCTAGATGAAAGGGACCACCGCTGGTCAAGTCCCAAGTAAAAGCCCTAAAATAGACTGCGCACCAAGAACATCCAGAGTTACTGTGCTAGGAGGTATAACGCTTCCGGAAAATGTGCGTTCCTTGTTAGAATTGGGTCCGCGTTTTGCACCTAGTCAACCCATTTCTAAACCAATCCTGCGCAGGATCACGTTTAGTCTACATAAACTTCAAAATCAGCTACGTTACAGGGTTAGGCTAGAAAGGTTAGGTAAAGTAGTACCATGGGGGGAACTACCACCGATACCCTTTCCCCGAACATTCTTTAAACAAGAGCTACCAAATAGCGATATTGACCCTACATTTCGGTTATTTTCGGACGAAATTCTCCGCATACTTAATCACTACCAAAAACGAAAAAGAAGCTCCAACCTCACAAACCAACAAAAATGTGGTAGGCGCCAGGTTAGAGAGCTTTTGAATTCAAAATCTATTAGACTTTCTATTAGTGATAAAGGCGGAGAATTTGTAGTTCTTCCTAGTCAGTTCGATATTAGGATAACAGAGAAGCACCTCAGTGATGTTTCCCTCCATCGAACATCCTCTGAAAAGGAATACAGAAATCAATACCGAAAATTAAATCAAGAATGAATCAGCACGGCTAAGGCCGCGGGTTTAGAGCCTTCAGTAATTTCTCGACTTAAGAACGAATACCCGATTTGTCCTGTCCTTTACTTGCTTATTAAAACACATAAGCTTACTTCAACTGATGATATTACATCAACGAACCCATCATCATATAAAGTTAGACCTATCATCACTTGCATAGGCCGGCCAACG